ATAATTTGTCACAAAGTACTTAAAGAGCTTGTATATGAAGTACTTAAAATACATTATATAATACATTGTTCTATTCTCGCATAAGACACATTTTCATCTCTAACCTATAACAATTAGCCTAATGACAGTATTTAGCTAGTGGTCCAGCATAAAGCTAAACAATGAATGGAAATATCATCTGTCATCCATTGATAAGAAGAAAACAGTGTTCTGATGAAGTTCTGAAGGGACCCTGGACCACGTCGCAGAAATCTAATCGAGGCTTTGAGGAATCGAACTTCAGGCTTTGATTGTTCCTGCAAATGTGTCTAAAATTAGCAAGATTTAAATCCACAGCAGCTCTTTTTAAAATGCCATTTGAACGTAAGAGTGGAATCTAGACTTTAGTGAGTATTTATCTTTTATGTTGTTAAAACATCTTTTTACTTTTTGTCTTTCACAGAAAACAGTGCACATATAAACCGGCACCTCCAGCACTGAAATGAGCCGTTTGTTCTCCGAGCTGCTGAAATACTCACTCACACTTTTATTTGCAGTCCTTTGGATCAGCGGTTCCGGACTGACTGACCAACCGTATGGACACAATGCACAGTGAGAACGTCCCTGAACACTTTCCCTGTTTCTACATCACATCATACTTTAACAAACAATACACATTTTAAATACTTTAATTTGTGCTCATTTTATCCGACACAATATGTGTGTTGTGTGTGTGTTTCGACTCTGCTCTGTCCTGTGTCCAGAGGGGTATTGCACAAAACCAAGATAAGGGATTAAGCCGCGATATGTTGGTTATCCTGGCTGAATTTAGCCTCAAGTCGGTTGCATGAAAGCAGGTCAGACTTATCCCGGCCAAGACCAGACCAAGCTCCAGACCAGGCTAACAGCCAGGCTAAGATTAATCCTAGTGATTCACCTGTATTTCCACCGTCAATCCTGTGAGGAATTAATGTGTTTTACAGCATGTCCATGGTCTTTCTAAGTATGTTGCATCATTTTAATTATCCTGCATTAAAATATTACATATATATTGTCATTTCTTATTTCATTTAAATCTGTTGGCTGTTTGTAATTGCAACAGTCTTTTTATATTGATTCAAGTGGTAGTATTATTACTCAGGACAAGTGTTATATTGCTATGCTAATGAAGACTGCTTGTCAAATTGCATAAATGTGTTTATTGCAGTAATTGAGATTCCAAAACACAGCTGATGAAGTTGCAAAGGTGTTTTCAATGAAATCTGTGACAAGGGCAATATAGTATATACATAAACATCTAGTACATAGTGTTTTTTTTATTATTTCCCTACTCTTACTGTTTATTTATACTGTTTTCTCTCTATCCACTTTGTTGCTGTTACATTGGAATTTCCCCAATGTGGGACAAATAAAGGAATATCTATCTATCTATCTATCTATCTATCTATCTATCTATCTATCTATCTATCTATCTATCTATCTATCTATCTATCTATCTATCTATCTATCTATCTATCTATCTATCTATCTATCTATCTATCTATCTATCTATCTATCTATCTATCTATCTATCTATCTATCTCCCATTCACCTGTTCCCTCTTCATAATGGCTTGCCCTTTCTTGAAGGATGTACTGAATGAGGAAGCCCTAATCCTCAGACGAGCATTTAGTCATGAAAGAGTCTTCTGGGACAGGTCAGACCCATTGGCCGTTGGAGAGGACTATCTCAGTGAGAGATACAGATTCTCAGGTGATGGACTAAGATATTTATGTAGGCTGCTGGGTCCAAAAATACAGCACCAGACGGCAGGAAGCCATGCTCGCAGTGTACCACAGATGGTCTGTGTTATATTGAGATGTTTTGCAAGTGGGAGCTTCCTTTCCTCCATCCTCTGTTGGGGATGCAGAGAACCTCAATAAAGGAACCATTTGCCGCACATATCCTGGCTTGGTGGGCCGCCCCCTGTGCCAGTTCTATGGGCTTTTTTTTTAACTGCTACAATCATACAGACATTCAACATGTCAGCAGACACCTAATCTATTCACCTCATTTGTTCACTGTTATCTACTTTAGAGTCACTGACCAGCCTGCAAAATGTTCTTGTATTTAACTTTTTTAACATTTTTAATGTAACTTGCTGCCAGGTCTTTTTATGGCCAGACAAGTTTGTTCTTTATGAATTGTTTGCACTTAATCATACTTTACTTTTACTTTACTTACTACATTTCCTGAGTAATATGCACCTCTACTTGCCACATTTAAAGCAAAGCGTACAAAAGTTGATTAGTGGACTTAAAGTAACTCCTTTAGTCCTTTAATTGTAGCCTAATGATGACAGTTCCAGTGGAGCACTGTTTATTCATTGTACAGTTTTGGACTACTTAAGCATTAAGCCGGTCTGCTATTGTCTGCCAGGCTTTCTCTCTTTCTTTCATTATGGCATTGGTATTGCCTTTGTTTCTTATATCTTCCACCTCTTCATAGAACTCCATCAGGAGCTGTTGTTCAGCGGCCGTGAAATATGAAGCGCGACTCTTATCCATGTTCCCATCGGTGATTCTGTGAGCGATCGCGAGGTCTATTTCAGTATGCCGTGAACACGCACTTATCCCGACTATCTACACCTGGCTTAACATAGCCGCACCTTTTCATCCTGGCTCGGCAAACGTGCAACCGATTAAGCCAGGATGCGCCAAGCAGGCTAGGTCAAGCCGGGCTTGCTCAATTATCCTGGATCTCTTTATTCTACTTTTGTGCAATACCCCTCTGTTCCAGGTGCCCCCCTTCCCTCCGACTGTTCAGGCACACCTGCAGTAGTTTAACATTCAGGCCGATTGATTTAAAGCTACCTGGATGGAAGCAGACGAGGTCGGTGGGCCAAACCACCAGATAGTGGAGATTATATTTACTGCCTTTTATCTAAAAAGTCAATAAGGAAACTACAGCTAATCCAGAACGCTGCAGCCAGAGTCTGAACTGCAACCAGGAGAGGCCTCTGCTGCAGACACTGGCTCATTAAAGTTCTTTTACTGTTTATGAAGCTTTATGTGACCTTGTTGTTCTCTCTGTGTCCAAGAACAGAATAATGTCTGTTTTATATTATTTATCTCTCTGATGTTTATTTGTTACGTTTTACATTTTACTGTTTTTATTGTTGTTCATTAACCCCTTCAGCATTGTATTTATTGTTGTTCATTGGTGTATAAGTCCATTAAAACGCTCCAATTAATTCAAAACGCTGCAGCACGAGTACTGACAGGAACTAGAGAAAAAGATCACATCTCTCTTGTACTAGCTTCTATGGACTCGCTCCCTGTAAAATTTATAATAGAATTTAAAATCCTCCTCCTCACCTATAAAGCTCTTCATGGTCAGGCCCCTTCATATCTTAAAGAGCTCATAGTACCCTATTACCCCACTAGAACACTACGTTCTCTGAATGCTGGGCTACTTGTGGTTCCTATAGTCTCTAAAAGTAGAACAGGAGCCAGAGCCTTCAGTTACCAAGCTCCTCTCCTGTGGAACCAGCTTCCAGTTGTGGTTCGGGAGGCAGACACCCTCACCACATTCAAGAGTAGGCTTAAGTAGTGATGGGCAAATTAAGCTTTTGTGAAGCACTGAACCACTTAAGCCAATTGTTTCGAAAGTCGGTTCATTACTCGAAGCTTCAGTTACGGTGACCTCTACTGGCAAAGTGCAAGGCTGCAGTCAAATTAGGCAGGCTAGTTGGTGGACAGGAGGTCCCATTAATGCATGTTACTAACTTCACTTCTTCCCCGGAGTTCTTGTACTTTCTCGTCTCGCAGGTTCTTATGGATCCTGGTGGAGCCTCCTGCCATGGTCCTGCTAGATTGCCATTGCTAATATCACTGATATAACTGTTATTATTATTATTATTATTATTAATATTATTATTGCTACGGTTACTGTTGTTGCTGTTGTCACTGCTCATTGTCCCCCAACGTTGCTGTTGTCATGTTCATCATCATCAGTCACTACTATTAGTGTAGTTGTTGCTGTGCACCTGTCTGTCTGTCTCTGTCTCTCTCTCTCTCTCTCTCTCTCTCTCTCTCTCTCTCTCTCTCTCTCTCTCTCTCTCTCTCACCCCAACTGGTCAAGACAGACGACCACCCACCTAGAGCCGGAGGATCTGTCCTAGGTTTCTGCCTTTTAACAGGCAGTTTTTCCTTGCCCTTGTCTCCAAGGTCTTGCTCATGGTGGTACTGTTGGGTCTCTGTAAATAATGTTATAAAGAGTTCGGTCTAGACCTGCTCTATTTGAAAAGTGTCCTGAGATAACTTCTGTTATGAATTGGCGCTTTACAAATAAAATTGAATTGAATTGAATTGGTGTCTTTATGTGCTGTTTGTGACACACTCTCACAGACAGACAGCTGTATGTCCACCCTTTTGCACAAAACTCTGACATCTCTGAGCAGCAAATACACTCCCTGATGTATTTATTTATTTTACTGTTAATTTGTGTAGCATAAAGAAATGCCACACAGCAGTTGTAGCCTAACTCACTGACAGTGTCTCTCCCTGTTGGGCCTTTAAAATACATAAAGAACCCAACAGACACAAAACAAACTGACAATGTACAGATAGATAGATAGATAGATAGATAGATAGATAAACAGACAGATAGATAGACAGACAGACAGACAGACAGAGATAGATAGACAGACAGACAGACAGACAGATTAATAGATAGACAGATAGATACTTTACTTAAATTCAAGCATCCAGTAGCAGCATACAAACATAAAAAAAGAAGTATACATAAAATAGCTTTTATTAAACTATGTGCAGTTTAAATGAGGCTGTCGACCAATGAAAGTTGGAGGTACAAATGATCCTCCCTGCCTGACTGAGAGCTGTTGTTCAGTCTGATTCGGACCAAAACGTTTTTAAGTCTGTTTCTCATTAAGACTTACAGAATCGGGTTTTCTTCACACTGGCGGAAATGGGCTTCCGTAGATTGACGTGGAAATTCTGGAGGTTTTATTTTGACGGGCAACCGGAAGTGCTACCCGGAAGTGATGATGTTGTTGCCGTGTTTGGGGAAATGGCGTCCAGCCGTCGTCCCGTTGTCGTGCTGAGAAAGTGTGTGTGACATCCACAGTAATGAGCCATCCGAGCCTCCGTATGTCCGGATAAAGCTGTCTGAATGGACTTTGTGCTGTTCACCGTTTTTCGGAATGTTTTCCCGCTGACTCATCTCCCGGTAGCCTACAAAGCTACAGAAGTTAGCTTAGCATGCTAGCTGTAAACAGAGCGGAGCTTAGCAACACAGCGCTAGTCAGAGTGACTGTTTGATGGAGAGCAAACAGTGTTTTTGACGGAGTTTGTGTGATTGTGTGAAAATGTGTAAAGTCCAAATGCTGAGAGCGTTGGTGAAGCAGCGACTAACTGCGGCTGCTGAAGAGATATTTGGGCTGTTTGAAAGAACGATAGCAGAGTACGAGGAGGAACTTTGTCGTTCAAAAGAGGAGAACGAGCGACAACGGAAACTACTGGACGCTGTTTTCAACCCTCAACTTCGGTTACACAGAGCAGGTTGGTTCACTGTACTGCTTCTTCTCTCACTGTTCACTCTCTGCCCCCAATTAATATCTGCTGATATGGATCATTGTTAACGTTTAGTCTCCACTACAGAAACACTAGCTAACTGCTGAAGGCTGATCAGGTTGATTGATGCTTTAATAATGGGAGTATTGATTACTGATCAGGCTGACATGCTGTAAATGGTTGGTTTCTGTTCCTGTTTTTAAATTACTTTCCTAATGAATGATGTGCTCATTATTATTGACTCCTGATGAAACAGACTCTGGAATTACTCCTGAAAGATAGGTAGTGTTTGACCTCCTGTTGCAGTTAAAGGTTGCATAGTGTGAACGGTACGTACAAGTTCTCTGACCAAGGCTTAAAGTAAACTTATTTCACCTCAGCAGTCCACCAAAAACTGTTTCAAGTTGTTCAATATATCTTCATCTGGAGGAATCTGACACTACAATACAGGTGAATTTGGTTTGAAATGTGATAAACCAGCATGTGGCAAAAATACCTGTATGAGAGAGGTCCAAGGAGGGAGGTGGGTGGTTCTTTTGGTGAGGCTCAGTGGTACTTGGTAGTTGCAGTGAAGTGCTGGTGAGGAGCTTCTTAAACAATCTGCCAGAGTAAGAAAAGAAGGACAGGAGGGACAAAAGAAAGCAGAAGACAGTACAAGGCCACCCAACCAGGAACTAAGCAGTTAATTATCTAACTTTTAGCCTGAATCACTCGTCACGGCGTGGTGCCAGCCAATAGATGCAGTCTGAGGCTTTGGTTTTCGGTATTTCACCACTGCTATCGCAACAGCCCTAGACAGAAGTAGCTCCCAGTTGCAGTCCTTCTCCGGCTGACTGCTACAGCGCTGAGCAGCACAGTGTTTACACTGACAGCGTATCATCTGCGAGCTGCTGCTGCTCAGCGCTATGTTTCTATACAGAGTTTACCTTTGATACAATAAAAGCCATGTTAACATAAGAATGGATTTTGTCCACAGAAACACCACAGAGCTTTTAATGTGACACAGATACAGGAGGTGTTGAGTTTATATTTGTTTCCATGTCTGTGACATTCTACACATATAGACACTGAAACTGAAGTGAAAGGTAACAGTTATCCTCACTGTGTGTGTTTGTATTTCAGTGTGTCCTGCAGACATCCAGCAGCTGGTAGTGAGGAAAGAGGAGGTTCCCCCTGAGCAGCAGGAGCGGAGCCCCAGTCTGGACCAGGAGGACCAAGAAGTTCAGACTCAGCCACTACACTTTAAAGAGGAACAGGAGGGAGAGCAGCTTCAAGGGCTGCAGGAGGCGGAGATCACCAAGTTCACATTCACTCCTGTCCCTGTGAAGAGTGAAGATGATGATGAAGAGAAACCTCAGTCCTCACAGCTTCATCAAAGACTAACTGAACAGATACAAACAGAAGCTGACTATGGAGGACCAGAACCAGACAGGAACTCAGCTCCAGATACACATTTACAACCCGCTACTGATGACAGTGCTGAAGATCGGTTTGAACCAGAGACTAAATTGAGTTATTATGGCAAAACCACCACCAGAGAAGCTCATTTAGGTTTAAACTTTATGGAAAATAACACATATAGTTCCAGTGAGAAATCATTTGGCTGCTCTGTGTGTGGTAAACGATTCAACCAAAACTCAAATCTGAAGACGCACATGAGAACCCACACAGGAGAGAAACCGTTCACTTGCTCATTTTGTGGTAAAAGCTTTGGCCAGAAGGCATCGCTGCAGAACCATTTGAGATGTCATACAGGAGAAAAACCCTACAGCTGTTCAATTTGTAACAGATGTTTTTCACGGTCAGAACATTTACAGTTACACATGAGAACACACACAGGTGAGAAACCGTTCAGCTGCAACGTGTGTGGTGAAAGATTCACATGGCGTCATCAGTTCAAAAATCATAAGTGTGGTGGTGAGTCCTCACAGCTTCATGAACTCTGGACCAATCACGTGTGGAGACCCAGTCTGGACCAGGAGGACCCAGAGCCCCCACACATTAAAGAGGAACAGGAGGAAGTCAGGACCAGTCAGAAGGGAGAGCAGCTTCAAGGGTTTACATTCACTCCTGTCCCTGTGAATAGTGACGATGATGATGATGAAGAGAAACCTCAGTCCTCACAGCTTCATCAAAGACTAACTGAACAGATGGAAACAGATGATGGAGAGGACTGTGGAGGACCAGAACCAGCCAGAAACTCAGATCCAGATAGACATTTACAACCTGATACTGAAGACACGACTGGATATCGGTTTGAACCTGACACTGAAGCTCATTTAGGCTTAAACCTTCCAGAAGATATGGGATATAATTCTTGTGAGAAATTATTTCACTGCTCTGTGTGCGGGAAACAATTTAACCAAAACTCAAATCTGAAGACGCACATGAGAACCCACACAGGGGAGAAACCGTTCACTTGCTCATTTTGTGGTAAAAGATTTGGCCAGAAGGCACATCTGCAGAGCCATCTGAAACGTCACACAGGAGAAAAACCTTACAGCTGTTCACTTTGTAACAGATGTTTTTCACGCTCTGAACATTTACAGTTGCACATGAGAACGCACACAGGGGAGAAACCGTTCCTCTGCAGCGGTTGTGGCGAAAGATTCACATGGCGTCATCAGTTCAAAAATCACAAGTGTGTTGGTGAGTCCTCACAGCTTCATGAACTCTGGACGAGTCGGGAGGGAGAGCAGCTTCAAGGGCTGCAGGAGGCTGAGATCAACAAGTTCACATTCACTCCTGTGTCTGTGAGGAGTGAAGACGATGATGAAGAGAAACTTCAGTCCTCACAGCTTCATCAAAGACTAACTGAACAGATAAAAACAAAAGCTTATGGAGAGGACTGTGGAGGACCAGAACCAGCCAGGAACTCAGATCCAAATAGTCATGAGTCACATGGACTAACATGTAACTCGTTCATTGGACAGTTCTGGTGACGTCAACCAGTTGTTGGTCCTGGAGTCTTTGATTTAGTGGAGATTTACAAGAAAATACAAATGGGAGAAAACAGTTGTTGCTATGTTTCAGTTTGTGGTTAAGGATTTGTCAGTTATCAGTTAGCATGTTGGTTACCAGTTACCAGGTTCATTTGAAGGTCAGTTAGTCGTTAGGCTGTCAGTTAGCTGGTCAGTGATTATAACTTTAACTCTCTGTTTCATAGTATAACGTTAGCTCTCTGTTGGTGGATACAATTACATACTTAGTGTCAGATGTATGAGATTGTTCCCTCTTAGAGCAACTAAAAGTTAGATTTCCCTACCTGGAGAACAAATAACAGCCACGTTTTTTCATAACTTCAGCGTCCATTTTTTAAATGGATTGTTATATAAAAACAGGGGCTGGGGGTAAACGATTATTTATTAAACGATTAATCGGGCGATTATTTTATCGATTAGTCGACTAATGTAACGACTAATTGGATGATTAATCTAACTATTATTTTTCTGTTAGACAGATAACGTTAAAAGCTACTGCAATCTGCTTGCTACCATTAGCTAGATCTAGCAGCTGTGCACTCGGTGGTGCTAGGCTAACCAACGCATCTTAGCTCTCTGTGCAGTTTGTTCGTGCTAGGTTAGTAGCTAAAGGTCACGTTAGCTAACGTTAGCTACTATCGATAGCTGTGCCCTGCAGCCGTAAGCTAGCTACCATTCAAGCCAACATTAGATAACTAATGTTAGCTAAACACAGCTGTCTAGGCGCCAGTAGCTAGCGAACGTTAACGTTAGCTACTAACCTAGCACGAACAAACTGCACGGAGAGCTAAGATAGTTAGCTAGCACCACCGAAGTGCGCAGAGCCCAAGCTACACAACACAACACACAAACATGAAATTAATTTAGCCAACGTTAGTACTTACTTGTTATTGTCTAACTATTGTTATTGTGGTATGCCAACTCCATTTGGCAAAGAGCGCAAATAACAACACCTTTATGTTTGGGACTAAATTTGAAGTATTCCCATGATTTAGGGCAAGCTGTTTTATAGGACTTTTTCTTTTATTGGGGCTTTTATTGGGGCTTTTATTGGGGCTTTTTGCAGGGCTTTGTTTGGAATTCTGTGAGGAGATTGCTGTTTTGTCCTCCATTCTGCAATGTTCTGGTCTCCCACGTGTGTGTGGCAAGCCGTCGCGAAGCGTAGATGCAAAAATAGGACGTCGAAGTAATTTTGGCATCTTGGACCTCTTCCTGGATTAGATGGTGTCTTGCCAACCAGGGTCTTTGGGAAGTATCCCAAGCCCACACTTCTGATTGCCATGGTGCCACCAGTGTCTTTTGCCTCCTCCAGCTAATGACATCTTCTGGTCCATGGAGTCCCTGTACAGTGGGGTAACACTCTTCAGTTAGGCCATTGATAGGGTGCTGCAGGGTGTTACTGGTCCCATACAGTGCTGCACTGCTAAGGGAAAGGCCCAGCCGCTTGCAGAGAAAGCCGCTGATCTTCCCTTTGAGGGACTTTCAATGAAACCAGTAGACGCAGGAGGACTCAGGGAAAGATAGCACCTGTTGTGGTGAAGGAATTTCCCCTGCATTAAATAAGGGTGGCTCGACAGCGCAGTGTCTGATATTACCGCAATTTTTTGTGTTTTTGCCAATTACTTTGTAAGGAGTTCAGCAGGATAATGTTTAATCTCAGTACCTGCTTGTACTGACCACCTGTACTCTCCCTCCTCCTGCTTCCTGGGTCTGTGACCCTGTTAACTGCTGACTTTCAGTCTATAAAAGGCACTGCATTACAGACAGCGAGCCTCTTCAGCCTCGCCGCTCTGGGATGCTTTCTGTCTTAAAGACAAACACTGAACATGACCTGATGAGGTGACATTGTGTGCGGTTGTTCTCACATTTTGTGAGGAAGTTTAACATATAAACTTAAAAGACCTTAACACAGTGTTTACTGACAGAGTTTCACTCTCTGATAAACAACCTCGTGCTGTTTGATTGTTAAGAATGATAAAAATACAGAATATAGATAGAGAATTATATAAAAAAGTTCCCTGAACATAAAATAGTTTTACACAAACTTCATGCAGTTATTGTGTTCACTGTTTAAAACAACTGATAAACTGTACAATGCACACAATCAGAACTGTCATTGTTCCATACAAATCAGGGTCGTCACTTTACAAAGTGGTAGAAAAAGGGGCCCTTAAGAAAAAAGGTTATGGAAATGTTCTGGACGGATGAACCCTGTAAATCAACAACGGCTGAACAGTCTTTGCCAAAATTACCCAAACTACCCCTGGTGAGTTTTGATCTTGTGAGGGTTGTTGTTGCATTGCTGTCCCTGATTGTTTGTATTTTGATGGACATTTATTCCATTTCTGTCCAGCACAGTCCATACTGACTATATAATGCTGTGTTCCCACCACAGGCAAATAAAATTATTCACGTGAGAAGATTACATACAAAGTCAATACAAAGACACATAAACACACATTGCAACTTGCATGTTCTTTGAGTGAGGGTTAGGGTTAACCCTCTCTGCAGGAGAGAGCCGGAGCTTCTGGAGGAACAGACATCTGCAGTCAAACTCTGATCTGGAGACTTTATGTAGTTTGTTCTTTAAACTTTTGGGATTAAAAAGTGGATTTATCTTCGCTCTCTCTTCTCAACCCGTCTGCTGTGAGCCACGAGGTGCCTCACACCACTGTTGGAAGCCAGATTAAAGGGTGAATGTAGGTTCATACAAATGATCCCATGAGTAAAGTAGTGCAAGTAACACTACCATGTGAACCTGAGGTTTGTTGTCTTAATACATTTTGTGTTTATAAGTTTCCATTTAGTGTGTTTATTTGTAGTCAGGAATAAATAATAGATTACAGTACTCAAATTATTATTGTAATTAGACTTAAAACTTAAGCTGATTGATAATTATTGTCTGGAGTTCTCATCGTTTCTGCCTGACTTGTTGTTTCTACTGAATTTTGTCACCCGATGAGGGAAACTTGTATTTTATTGGTCCTTCTCTGCTGCCGACCTCCAGCTGTGTGTTTTCATCCAGAGTTTGTCGTCTGATCCAGACAACCTTTCATTTGAGCCTCTATCACAGAGACAGGATGGCATTTAGCTCCCAGCGTACAGCTGAGAGAGATAAGAATGCTAATTAATGCTAATTAATGCTTACACACACACAGGTGGAGGAGGAACATGGTTACATTAGAAAGCAGCTGTGTGATATTATTAAATGAGTCTTTTCATTAAAGTCAATCTGTGTTTTTGGATTATTTGAAGAACTCAACAAAAGTACATTAAGTATTCACATTCAACATCATATCAAGCAGTTTAATTATTCATAAAAATATGAGATGGATAGAAATGTGATGTTCAGGTTTATAAGAGTTCTTTCTTCCAAACATGAATGTTACAAAAGGTTAGAAATCCAAGTTGTTTGTGCTTCAGTGAAGTCTGTACATCAACCTGCAGCCTGGCTGAAGCTCATCACTTGTGCTCTGTCGCCCCCTGTTGGACATTTTCAGTTTTTAAAAGTTACCTCCTTTATTTTCTTGACATTGGTTGATATTTTAAACTACATGTAGATTGAAGCCTGGCCAGACGGATTCCTGCGTGATCTGTTTTGTGATCTCGAGAGTTCAAATTCCTCGCAAGGTCAAGTTAAAGTAGAGAACCAGGTGCTCTGCCAGAATATGGCCAGTAGTCCAGTAAAAATAAAACTGTCCAGCTTAGTGTCAAATATGGAACTCCATTTTCACCAATGTGATGGGAAGAAAAGGATTCTGTTCGTCATTATAATGAGAAGCTTTCTTAAAACATTGACTTTGAGATATTAAGGGAAAAAAAACATAGTACAGAGATAATATCAGGAAAACTCATCTCTCATCAATATTAACAGGAAATAATCTGCTCAAAATTCAAATCAAATATCTGCTTTTACACAAGCTTCCTGCGGTCACTGTGTTCACTGTTTTATTAAATACCAGAATCAGAAATACATTATTGATCCCTGGGGGAAATCTGTCCATTACAGCTGCTCAAGGTGCTCACACGACATAAAAGAATAGAAATAATTTTGTAATATTTTACTATATATAATAAACGTACTATATATAATAAAATAGAATTGTATATATTACTATATACGTATAAAATAAAATAAAAATAGTAAAATATAATCAAACAAAATATACAGAGGTAGAAGTAAGTGTATGCTACATGGCCAACAGATATGTAATGAAAAATGAGTAAGTACTGATAATGTTAATACTGAAGTATTAGTGACAGAATAAGCCAGAATATTGCACATTAATCTGAATATTGACCGTTAACCACATCAACAGTTATCAGTGGCTCTCCAAGTTCAGGGACTTTTACTAATGTAAACTCAGATATATATTTAGACTGTTTTTCTGCTATCGATCTTCATCAGTTAACTTCAATAATTTTTTCATCAAAGCCATCAACCTGTCTGTTAGACCCGATCCCAACTAGACTGCTTAAAGAAGTCGTACCCTTAATTGGCACTTCTTTACTGGATATGATTAATCTTTCTTTATTATCAGGATATGTACCACAGTCCTTTAAAGTAGCTGTAATTAAACCCCTTCTTAAAAAGCCCACTCTTGACCCAGGGGTTTTAGCCAACTATAGACCAATCTCTAACCTCCCCTTCCTCTCTAAGATTCTGGAGAAAGTAGTCACCGAAGAGTTGTGTGACTTTTTACATAAAAATAGTTTATTTGAGGATTTTCAGTCAGGATTTAGAGTTCATCACAGCACAGAGACAGCTCTGGTTAAAGTTAATAATGACCTTCTGATTACTTCTGACAATGGACTTGTCTCTGTACTGAATTATTAGATCTTAGTGCTGCATTTGACACCATTGACCATGATATTCTTTTACAGAGACTTGAGCATCAAATTGGCATTAAAAGAACTGCACTAAGCTGGTTTAAGTCATATTTATCAGATCGTTCGCAGTTTGTACATGTTAATAATGAATCTTCAATAAATGCTACAGTTAGTCATGGAGTTCCACAAGGTTCTGTACTTGGACCAATACTATTTACTTTATATATGTTCCCTTTAGGCAGCATTATTAGGAATCACTCCATTAACTTTCACTGTTATGCAGATGATATGCAGTTATATCTATCGATCAAGCCCGATGAAATTAATCAATTATCTAAATTACAAACATGTCTGAAGGACATAAAATCCTGGATGAGCTGCAATTTTCTGATTTTAAACGAAATTCTTGTTCTTGGCCCCAAAAACCTTAGAGACTCACTGTCTAAAGATATAGTTACTCTAGATGGCATTACTTTGGCCTCTAGCACCACTGTCAGGAATCTTGGAGTTATCTTTGATCAGGATTTGTCATTTAACTCCCACATAAAGCAGACCTCCAGGACTGCCTTCTTTCATTTACGTAATATTAAAAAAATTAGACACATACTATCACAGACAGATGCAGAAAAACTAATCCATGCATTTGTTACTTTAAGGCTGGATTACTGCAACTTTTTATTATCAGGTTGCCCCAATAAGTCCATTAAAATTAATTCAGAACGCTGCAGCACGAGTACTGACAGGAACTAGAAAAAGAGATCACATCTCTCCTGTACTAGCTTCTCTGCATTGGCTCCCTGTGAAATGTAGAATAGAATTTAAAATCCTCCTCCTCACCTATGAAGCTCTTCATGGTCAGGCCCCTTCATATCTTAAAGAGCTCATAGTACCCTATTACCCCACTAGAACACTACGTTCTCTGAATGCTGGGCTGCTTGTGGTTCCTATAGTCTCTAAAAGTAGAACAGGAGCCAGAGCCTTCAGTTACCAAGCTCCTCTCCTGTGGAACCAGCTTCCAGTTTGGGTTCGGAAGGCAGACACCCTCTCCACATCCTTCTCTTCCTCTCTCTTTCTGCACTCATTCATGTTCCATTAATGCAAGTTACTAACTTCACTTCTTCGCCGGAGTTCTTGTGCTTTCTTGTTTCGCAGGTTCTTATCGATCCTGGTGGAGCCTCCTGCCATGGTCCTGCTAGATTGCCATTGACAATACTGTTGTTGTTGTGCACCTGTCTGTCTGTCTGTCTGTCTCTCTGTCTCTCTCTCTGTGTCTCTCTTTCTCTCTCTCTCCCTCTCTCACCCCAACTGGTCGAGACAGACAATCACCCACCTAGAGCCGAAGGATCTGTCCTAGGTTTCTGCCTTTTAACAGGCAGTTTTTCCTTGCCCTTGTCGCCAAGTGCTTGCTCATGGTGGTACTGTTGGGTCTCTGTAAATAATGTTATAAAGAGTTCAGTCTAGACCTGCTCTATTTGAAAAGTGTGCTGAGATAACTTCTGTTATGAATTGGCGCTATACAAATAAAACTGAATTGAATTGAATTGAATTGAACATTACAGGCACCAGTTTTATGAGGGTCTGACTCTCTGTATTCGGTAGAAATAATATGAAATATCCATAAAATATGTCTCTTAGAGGCATGTTCTTAGTCATCAGTTTACTTAATGATAGAAAAGGGCCCCTTAATGAATAAGTTTGGGAACCACTGTAGTATATAATTGGGTGTGTCTTGTCCCAGGACCTCAATCATTGATTCAAAAAGTATTTTTAAGGATGTTTTTTAGCAGCTGTTTTTACCCGACACCTTCTGGGCTACTGTAGACACATGGCGGACTCAAGGGAAGGTGACCTCTGGCGTCTTTAGATATAAAAAGCTCATTCAAAGGTAACAAAAACACAACAATTCTTATTTTCAGATAATTATGCACAAATGAAAACATACAATTAATGCTTTATTCAATTTCTGTTAATAGATCCTCCTGAATGTTACACAGTGGACCTTTAAAACACAAATCAAGAGTTTGTTTAAACTGCATTATTCATAGCTCGTAACAGTAAAAAAACAAAAAAAATATTGAAAAAAATATTAAGAAAAAAGAAAGAGGAAGTTAGTAAATCTGTGTCTGTTACTTGATTCCAGTCCTGATCAACCAAACTCCATTCAGAAAACAAGCATTTTAAAAGTTGTTTGCTTGTAGACTTTTTACAAATCACCATCATGATGTTGTTATTTCAGCATCATATTGATCAATTTATTGACATTAAATCACAGAAACCTCTATTTATTTTAGGCTCATACTGCTGCTGTAAGAAGGGTCAAGGGTCAATATTCACCTTACGGTATATAAAAATGATATACAATCAGATGCTCGGAGCTCATAATATAACAACTATAAAATAATATATAACAGTTACGTTAATATTAATTATATACTGAATTTGAGTATTGTTGATATATTCCATAATAAAAATAATGGAGCATTACAATGACTCTCGACCTGGGCTTTTATTTTCTTAATCCCAGAAATTCTCATGCACCGGAAATGATTGTCCGGGTTCAGAGTGGAACAAGATGGCGTCCAGTAACAACGTGTCCCGTTGTCGTGCTGAGAAAGTGTGTGTGACATCCACAGTAATGAGCCATCCGAGCCTCCGTATGTCCGGATAAAGCTGTCTGAATGGACTTTGTGCTGTTCACCGTTTTTCGGAATGTTTTCCCGCTGACTCATCTCCCGGTAGCCTACAAAGCTACAGAAGTTAGCTTAGCATGCTAGCTGTAAACAGAGCGGAGCTTAGCAACACAGCGCTAGTCAGAGTGACTGTTTGATGGAGAGCAAACAGTGTTTTTGACGGAGTTTGTGTGATTGTGTGAAAATGTGTAAAGTCCAAATGCTGAGAGCGTTGGTGAAGCAGCGACTAACTGCGGCTGCTGAAGAGATATTTGGGCTGTTTGAAAGAACGATAGCAGAGTACGAGGAGGAACTTTGTCGTTCAAAAGAGGAGAACGAGCGACAACGGAAACTACTGGACGCTGTTTTCAACCCTCAACTTCGGTTACACAGAGCAGGTTGGTTCACTGTACTGCTTCTTCTCTCACTGTTCACACTCTGAGCTGGAAGTAGTATTCACAGCCTTTACTGCAGTAACAGGATGATCAGCACAATGGACTCAAAGGAAAAGTAGTGATAGTGCAGGAACAGGTTGGTTCCCTGTACTGCTTCTTCTCTCACTGTTCACTCTGCTCATAACTTTGACAGTTTATTTAATGGACAGAACTTCCGGGTCTGTGAAGTGAGGTCAACGCGGAAGTGTGTTTAACCTGCAGTGTCTCTAACAGCCAGCAGGGGGCAGCTCCTCTCTGATAGTATGGAGTCTTATGGAGAAGTTGATTGATGAGCTCA